CTCTCCGACCCAGGCTTCCCCACCCGAACCACTGGCACGGCGCCGCCGTGAATGGCGAGCGGGACGCGCCTTCTAGTCCAACCTGGCTTGAGGCACATAGGGTGATTCTGTATCCGCGGGTCCCGTCGGCGAACTACCTCACTCCAGAACGCGTGCAACGTCTCTTCTGATCCGTCTGGGCCCAAGAACTTTTCGTTGAACCGCACTCTGTCATATCTGAAAAGGTACGAGAATGTCATGTGCGCATCCAGAATCTTCACCTCACTCTGCCGAATAGACGCTGCGGTCCCCCTGGGTTAGTGAACTCTCACCCAGGAGTGGAATATGCGAGCAGGGGGGGCGCGCGGGCTCGCCAATCCAATTGCGAAGCTCCCTGTGCACATTACCTTTGTATTTGCCCCAATGGCCCAATGATGCAAGATGCCGAATAGACGATGACACAGCTTCGTCAGCCTTTTCTGGAACACCAAGTCTTTTGCAGAGTGCGACCATGTCGGCGCGCGCCCGTGCCGCTATTGACTGAATCTCAACGGCGCTCATAAACCCCCAGGCCCACTTAATGACCAACTTCCTAGCGAGGTCTGAATCTAAAAGGGCGGCCTTGCCTGCTGCCCCAGGATCGACGCTGGGCTGTGCGCTACTGGATATCTCAATTTCTTCGAGTTTCCTTTTGCGCTGCTGTCTACCACCGCCTAATCTTTTCATCGCGTGAACGGTGTCTATATGGGGGCGGAGTGACACAAGATTGCGCGCGCAATGCTTGGGCCAAAACGGCTACTGATCCAGTGATGCTGCAATGGATGGAGTTGCCGATTCGAAGGGGGTCGGGCGCGCGATGATTATGGATGTTGCGTTTGCTTGGCCCCGACACGAGCCTGTTGAACGACCGAACCAAATCGAGCGCCTGCGCAGCCCCTCCCCCCCCCCGCCCGCTCTCGACGGCAAGCGGGCGCGGCGCGCCGCGGGGCTCCGCCAAAGGGCGCCCCGAGGACCTGCCGAAAGCCTCCCGCGACCCAGGGGCCGCCCAGGGATTCCAGGGCAAAAAAATATCAGAAAGCACCATCAGGGGCAAGTCTGGAAAATCAAGGGGCGATCCTCGATCCTCGATCCTCGTGCGACAACGACGACGACGACGACGACGACCACTTTCGGGCCCGCGTCGGGCACCGCTCCCCCTCCCAGACGTCGAACCCAAGGGGCGAGTGGCGAGGCCGTGTCCGTTGTGTGGGTAATGCATATGCCTTTGCATGTTATGCAGGTTGCCAGTCTGCCAATCAAGAACGCCCTCGAGGTACAATCAGTGTTTGCTGGATGTTTCTGGCATGTCGGTGGATGTCAAATCGTTTCGGGCCCGCCCTCGTATTTTGTTTTAAAAAATGTTGTTTTCCCCCCCAGTGTGTCTTTTGAAAAGGCTCCGCATACATTAGTTCTGTATGGATTCTGTAGGGGCGATGTCCTGGGATGTTCGTGGGGACGGTTGCTTCGCGACGAGGACCCTAAATAAATATCTAGAAACAAATGTGGTCCGAAAGATGTGTTGGAACACGCCGTAAAAAGGTTATCTGTCAAAATATCAACAACTGGTTTGAGGTATATGTCCAACTGGTATGATGTATCAAAGGATATGATTTTCAAATGGTTTGAGGTATCTGTCAAAAAAACTGATCAACAACGTAGCTTTCGGGGTTCGGTTACTTCGAAATCGATGATGTAGACCGCAGGGGGCCAGGAGGGCCCCAAGAGGGTTACAATTCCATGAGAAATATACAATCTTGAAACCCCTCATGGATGCGTAAACATTGTGGGTGGTCTAAACATGAAGCAATTCCTATGCACTTATACCACATCCTATCCAAAAAAAATGGCCTCCCACGGGGCCCCTGTGGAGGTCGCTGACGGGGCGCGATCGAATTTGTTTACGGAGGGGAAACACACGTCAAACATTTACGATAATTCGAACAAAAAATCGACTGATGAGAATCAATTACAAAAAATAACGGACTGAAATGGAAATGATGAAAAAGTGTTCAAAACGTGAAAATCTATGTTGTAGATTTGTTGTAGATTTGGGAATCTACAACGAATCTACAACATCATGTTGTAGATTCGTTGTAGATTTCAAAACCTACAACGAATGTACAACGTACGATTTCACACATTCTCACAACACTGCAACTTCCATGCAATCCATCGCGCAAACAAGTAACCGAACGTTGCAAAAATTGGCGACGCAACGTAACGCCGTACCGTAAAATCTGTTAGCGACGACGTAAATCACATAACTTGTGTGATAACCTTTCTTATAAACTTATGAGGAATGAACAGAATTGGAATCAAGAGCTACATGCACATAACATGAATCAGACATTTTTACCATTCTCCCTTGCTCCGCTTTGGCGCGGTATGTAGTCACTACAGCATCGGATGTAGTACGCAGCAATGCTTCGCATAACCCCTAGCACGCGCAAGCGCCTCCCAGCAACCCCTGCACGAGCGGGCGCCCGCTAGTGCGGCGAGCAACTCGATCTCAGGCGGAACGGAGGCTGTTTCGAAATGCAATAGCCTCGGCCTTCGGACATTGCGTCTCCTGCATGTGTTTCACAACTGCTTCCATGTCGGCTTCAGCCGACGCCCCGTATTTAGATTTCAGTACCGTAGTCGCGTGGACCCTCTTCCCCGTCTGGAGACCCTTCGCGGTGATCTCAAAGCGACCGTCCTTATGGAATCGCTCAATCTAGCCCCTCTCGCCCTCGTCCTCCTCCTCATTTTACCTCTTCGAGTGAAGTTTGTTTTGGGGCGGGGGGGGGGGGTGTCGGGCTGAGGGAGCAGGGTGAAGAGGCCTCGGCTTCCGCATCCCCCCCCCCCCCCGTCCCCCCCCATCGACATTGCGGCGATGGGGGCTGTTTTTCTTCTTTTTTTTTTTGTTGGGGGGGGGGGGATCGGAGGGCGAGGATTCCTTTCGCCCTCTTCCCTCTGCCAGAACTCTCTCGCGTTTACAGGGCCCGATCCTTTGTCTTCGCCAACTTCGGATTGATGAGCTTGCGATCCTCGGGGGGGTCGCCCGTTGTCTTGATGGTTGTTTTTTCTTGGGATCTGGCACCGTAAGCTTCTTGGCGCGGTCCGTAATAGACTGCGTCGCCTTGGCATCCTTGCGCGCGCGCAGAATCTCCTTCCTGCGGCGCTGCGTGCAAGGGTCTGGTGGCTCGTCGAATTTGTCGGGCTTCGATGTTTTCTCTGGGCCAACATCGGGGGCGTCGAGAATCTCGTGGCCGTCGATGAAGTCTTGCATGCTCATCGGACGCGACGGTGCACCAGAGCGACGCGATGGCTGAGATACCGCAGATATGTCAGATCTCGGTGACATCTGTGGAAACCCATCTTCATCGAATTTCGCCGCGTGCTCTGGGTAAGCTATGGTAGACGGCACTGTCACCAGCGGCGCCAAGCTTGAACACTCGGCCAAGTCACGCTCCATCTCCTCGACCTGTCGCAAGCCTGTCTTGAACAAGTCACGCATCGAACCGCTGTCTGATAGAGCCGCGCCGCGCGGGGTCGGGGACATTGGCGGCGCCGAACCTGATAGCGGCGAATCCAGAGCCTTCTTGGGATCGGGCGTCTTGATGGGTACATCGCTCAGCTGCGTGAGCTTCATCATTCCGACAAGGGCGTCGATCGCGATTCTGTCGGCGGCCCCGCGCTGCCGCAGGAATGGTGACGACTTCTTGGAACGAGTATTACCGTCGCTCGAAGTTTCGTCCAACTTGATCTGCCTGACCATGCTGAAGCAATTTCTGACGTGATCGGTGATGTTCGTCGCAGTGAGCTCACTTCCGTCACTGCACACTGCCTTTGTAGCTATCATGAACCGAGACGTCCATATAACTCCATTCCACACTCCTTTTTTCATCAACGACTCCAACAGCTTATACGATCTGACCACATGAACAGGTGTCAACCTATTGATATCTGTGTTCAAAGGCTGCAGCACGGACTCGAGGGATCTACCGCCAGCGAAATCTTTCAAGCAAGACACGTAGTCGGATTCTGCAACATCTGGGTTTGCAACCTGGCGAGGGCGTTTCGATCCCATTGTAAAGTTCAGGGCTCGTCAAAGGAAGCCAGCTGAGCCAAAACGGCTACGATGATAGGAGGGGTGCGAATGTTGGCCTTTTCGCCCCGCCCCGCTCTTTCGATTCAGACTTTCAGACAGACCCTGAACAACTGTGACACTCTGAACGCACGTGAGACTAACCTTACAGACAGCTGTTCAAGGATGAGCGATGTAGATTCGGTGTCGATTTTGAAATTTACGAAGCATCTACACCATCGCGTTGTAGATTCGTTGTAGATTTCAAAATCTACAACGAATCTACAACATATCTAAAACATATCTGCGACATGGTCACCAGGATTCCTTTGTGGCCCCCAGGTTCCCTTGTCGGGGCCCCATGGGCCACGTGATTTCAGGGCCCCAGGGCTCCCTTCAGGGGCCAGTTGTTTCAGCGCACAAGATTTTACACATGTTTTCTGCTGGGCCCATCGCTGGGCTCGCTCGCTTCTCGCGGGCTCGGTCGGGGCTCTGTTGCCCGAGACGAGGGCGAGACCAGGCGGCGCGGCAATCGCGCCGAGCGGGAACGGCAGGCAGCCAGAGGGGCCCCGAGATGGGGCGAGCGGCAGGACGGGGAGAGGGCGATCAGAACGAGTGCGAGAATCAGGGTCAGGAGGGGATAAGTAGCAGGGGTTGAGAGGAAAGAAAAAAAAGAGTAGCACGAGGCGAACCATTCTGCCTCGGCCTCCTGCGCGCGGCGCGCCGTGCGCCGCGTCGAGCACTCGGCTCAATCGAAACGTAGTTTCGCTCGGTTCAATCCTTAATCAGCCCCTGGGGGGCCAAAATCGACTCGGCCCCACTGGTTGCGCCAAACGCACCCAAACATTTTTTTGAAACGAAAACATCATCCTTCTCTCCTTCTCATTCTCTTCGAAGCGCCCTCAGCGCTGACCTAAAGCTTGATCGGCTTCAAGCCCTTGGCCGCGTCGGCGGTCTTGCTGCCCTTGGCCGCGGACTTCACCTGGATCACGATCTCATTGAAGAGCTCGACCATCTGCTTGTACGGGACGCTCATGGCTTTGAGAGCCTCCGCCACGTCCGCCTTCGAGATGTTGCGCTTGGCCTCGCCCTGGGCCACCAGGAGGGACTCGATGGCCTCGCTAGGCCCCGCCACGGCCTTGCACAAGCTGATGGCCCTCCCAGACATCAGCTTCGTGGTCTCGGAGTTGCCCCCGGCGGCCATCATCTTGGTGCCCAAGCGGCGCAGGGCCAGAGTCACCCTCGAGACCGCGTCGAAGCTCTCCTGCGGGTAGCACCCACTCCCACTCCTACTCATACCCCATGGGCCAGAGTCACCTTCGAGACCGCGTCGAAGCCCTCCTGCGGGTAGCACCCATTCCCACTCCTACTCATACCCCATGCACCTTCCCCCACCTACCTCCCCTCTTACTCCCTCTCAGGATTATGAGTGGGACGAGGGGGGGTAGGAGCATGAGTAAGAGTAGGAGTATCAGTAGGGTTGGAATAACACTAGGAGTAAGAGTAGGAGTAGGAGTCCTGCATGACCGTGAAGTCGCCGTCGTCCGCCTGCACCCCCGCGATCTTCTTGGGGACCCCCTTCTGGCACTGCTTGAACCAGTCGCCGAGAGGCTCCGCGGTGAGCTGCTCCTCCTGGTCGCACAACGCCTGCGCGAACTCGTCCGTCGAGAGCAGGCCGCCCGTGTCCTCCTCGCCCTTGTAGCCCTTCTCCTGGACTTTCGTCCGCTCGATGGTGTGGGACTTCTGGTAGTAGAGCCCCGTGTCCTCTGCCTGGTAGACCTCCCCTGCGTCGAGCGCTTTCTGCGCCAAGGACTCCGAGCCGCCGAGCTTCGTCCCGACGAGACTCCACCATCCAAGGCCGTGCGCCGTCTCCTTGTTCTCGTCGCGCATCATGTTGCGCTGGAAGCGCTTCACCGAGCGTGCCTTGATCAAGACATCCATCCCGCCAGCAGCCTTCCTCGTGACGCAGCTGTTGATGATCTGGTTGATCTGCGCCTGCTTGCCGACGGTCTTGTTGGCTGTGTCCATCAGCTTGTCGAACTGGGCCACCAAGGCCTGATCGAAGAGGTTGCGATTCTTCGCGAAGGTGTGCCTCTGGGCACGAGTCGTCGTGCGGGAATCAGCTGCTCCGTCCTCTGCGTCCTCGTCGTCCTTGAGGGTGTTTTTGCCCTTGCCGCGCGTGGCGGCGATACTCACCAAAGGCCCCTCGTCGGTGTCGTCCTCCTCTTCTTGGTCCTGCTCGTGCCAAGCAGCTGGCCTCTGGAGCTTCGCCGCGGGCATCGCCTTGGCCGCCGCTGGGCGCTTCATCAGAAGCCGCGTCCAAAAAGTGGATCCTTTCTCGTCTGATGAAGATGCCCTCTGAATGGCTTGAGCCAAAACGGCAATGGCTCCTCCTCCTCCTCCTCCTCCTCCTCCTCCTCCTCCTCGCTCTCCCACCAGGGCACAGGGACCCAGGAATCCAAGACCCAAGGAGTCCAGGCGCGCGCCCCTGGGGCCCATCAGGATCCTAGGGGCCCATGGGCCAACGAAACCCTTCAACCAGAAATCCAGAAACCGAGGGGCCGAAAAACATCGGAAAGGGAACGCTGATTAGCAGACGTGGCATGACGTAGCTCAAACTTTGCGGCTGTGCCCGCATACGTTAACTGCGAAACGACATCCCAACACCAGGCCAAAAACTAAGTGCAAACTAAGTGCAAACTAAGTGCGTTTTAAGTGCAATTCTAAGTTTGTTCTAAGTCTAAGTTGAGGTACGGACTAAGTAACTTAAGTACGTTCTAAGGTAAGTTCATTTTAAGTTAAGGTGCAGAACTTAAACATAACTTATCCTTTCTTTTCTGTGGGTGCCGGATGCTCAGGGCTCTGGGCTCCTCTGGGCATCTCCCCCGGGGCCCGTTTTGCGAGGATGTCTCAAGCGAGGGCGCCGGTTTGGGATTCGTCGGCGGATCCACCGGATCCAGCGGATCCGTTCGGAAACGGTGCCGGAGGCCGCTCTGGGCTCCTCTGGGCATCTCCCCCGGGGCCCGTTTTGCGAGGATGTCTCAAGCGAGGGCGCCGGTTTGGGATTCGTCGGCGGATCCACCGTATCGAGCGGATCTGTCCGGAAACGGTGCGGGAGGCGCGACTGGCTCATTCTGGGCGATCCCCCCTCAGGTCCTGTTTTTTGGGATGTCCTCAGCGAGGGCGCCGGTTTGGGATTCGTCGGCGGATCCACCGGATCCAGCGGATCCGTCCGGAAACGGTGCCGGAGGCCGCTCTGGGCTCTTCTGGGCATCTCCCCCGGGGACCGTTTTGCGAGGATGTCTCAGGCGAGGGCGCCGGTTTGGGATTCGTCGGCGGATCCACCGGATCTAGCGGATCCGTCCGGAAACGGTGCCGGAGGAGCCGCTCTGGGCTCCTCTGGGCATCCCCCCCGGGTGCCGTTTTGTGAGGATGTCTCAGGCGAGGGCGCTGGTTTGGGATTCGTCGGCGGATCCACCGGATCCAGCGGATCCGTCCGGAATCGGTGCCGGAGGCCGCTCTGGGCTCCTCTGCATCTCCCCCGGCGGGGCCGGTTTTGCGAGGATGTCTCAAGCGAGGGCGCCGGTTTGCTGGGATGGATGCGGTGGTTGTTATCTGGTTGCGGTGGTTATATATAGTTGTTGCACATATATTTGAGTTAGGCATCTTGGTTATAACTGTGTTACTAACTTGGTTATTCGCTCAGTTATAACTAGGTTGCTAACTTAGTTACTAACTTGGCCAGGCGCGCTGGGGCATCAGGCGCGCGCGGTCATGTTGACGCGCGCATCGACGCCAACAACCATCGCTTCCTGAAACTAGCGCTGCGTTTCAGCAAACCGTCGCATCGAAATCGAAAAAATAACGCAAGAAATTATGAAAAATCCATGTCGCTTTCATGATCTACCCCGCATGACGCACGCCCGCCCATGCCCCCCCGCCCCGCTCCCGCCCCCTCCGTTCTACCCGCGGCGTCCCCCTCCCCAGTGCATCACGCAGCATGTGTTCTATTGGGTTTGCGCGCAACTCCCCCCCCCATCTCCCGTTCCAACGCCCGCCCGCCACCCCCCGCCACCGCCGCCGAACCCGCCGCCGCCGCCCGCGCGCGCCGCCGCGCCCCGCGTGGCCACCAGTCGCGCCGCCACCGCCACCGCCCCACCGCCGATGCCCACTGCGCCGACCAGCGGCCCACGTTTGCCTTACCTGTTTTGCGATGGAGCTCGCGAGCCCACGCCGCGGAGCGCCAGTTTTTTTCTGCGCGACGTATTTGCTGTTATGCAACGCGCGGCGATGTTCGACAAAAGCGCACATGGCGCACGCCGAATGTAAATTTTACATTCGCAATTCGCACGACGAGGCCACCTCAATGCGGAACATATTACGCAACAGCTCGAGCGCGCGCGCGTGCAATCCGCGGCCGCATTCTCGAGCATGCACATAGCGCTTGACGATGAGGTTCGGCAGACGTGGCAAACGGCCGCGCGGGCCACCCGAAAACTCGTTGCGGTCGGCAACGAGATTTCAGGTGATGTGCGCGCGAAATGGCCGCAGCCTGCTTGTGCGCCGCGAGCACGCGCGCGCGCGATCATGGGCGCGCGGGACTGCATTGGCAACGCGCGAGCGGCGCGAGACCGACGGCCGATCGGATCACCAGAAACATTGCGACGCATTCTCCGTTCAATCTGCCGCACATGTAGCGCAACATGCATGACCTTTTGAAACCGCGGTTTGCACGCGCGCGCGGCGAAACTGCATGGGGCGGATAGCACACGGCGGCGTGAGGGGCGCGCCGTGGCAGTGGCGCATGCGACCCCTTCCGCGGGGGGCGTCGGCGGACCTCCCCCCTTGGGGCCGCGATGCGCGCGGCGCGCGCGCCGAAATCAGCGGCGGCGGCGCGCGCCGCCGCTGCCGCTGGGGCACTCGGCGCTTCCGCGCGGGGCCAAGAACTGCGCGAGGGCCGCGCGGAATTGCGTTGCGGCGACGCATGCGATCGTTGTCAGCGGGGCCGTCGGTGGAACTCCTCGTGGGGCAGCGAACCGCGCGAGGGATGCGCCGAATTAATGGAATGGCGGCGGCGCGCTCCACCTCTGCATCATGGAGCATTCGGCGGGGCCCCCGTCGGCGGCGCTTTATATCGAACGGACATGCGCGATGTCATGAGGGCTCGGCGCGCTTCCAGGAACGAATGGCAGCCCGTTGAAGAGCGCATTGCCCCCCCCCCTGCCCCCCAGCGCCTCCCTCTTCTTCACATTGCGAGCGCATTGCTGCCGTCGACGCTCACGTCGGCGACCGCGCTGCAGGTCTGCGCGGGCGACGCGCGCGAGCAGGGTGACGTCGGCGGGCCGTCCGCCACATGGAAATCCACAGGGGGTTCTGGTGGCGGGCCGCCCGCCAAAACAGATGGCGCATATAATTGAGGGCGCGGTCCGCCATCCCCCAGCGGGCACAGGGCAGCCCCCTGATCCCCCAACCATGCTGCCCGCAGAAGTAAAGGGGCGCAGCGGAGCGGAAATTCTACCATTCCGACCCAACGCCCGCGTTAGAATCGACGTGCGTTTGTGCAGGTATATATTCTTGTATGGAACGATGGCGCCGTTAAATTGGAATCGCGGCGGCGACTTCCAGCGCGTTCTTCATTTCCTGGTCGGAAAAGGCGACGCTCTCAATTCGTAAAGAACGCGATGTATGTTTCGCGCGCGCGACGCATGGTGGTGAACGCTTCCTTCGCGCCGAGCTTGCCCCATCTCTTATGGGATGAAATCTACATGGGGTTGCCACCATTATGTTTTAGACTTAACAACCTCGAACCGCGTGCGTCATGCAGCTCGCGCGAGCGCGGTCGCACGCGCGAGCGGTTGACGCGCCGCCCGCTCGCCCGCGCCGCCCGCTCCTGGCGCGCGCGCTGCCTGCAGCGCGACCAATGCATGCGCGAAGCTATAACGTCATCCAAACATTCCACCGCGAGAGGGTCGCCCCCTCCAACCAGAGAATGAAAGTCCACGCTGGGTTTTCCCAATTGGTTTTCGATAGAACATCGCCTTCGCTGTATATATGTGTATATACCTATATGCACGACGTCGGGATGATCGCCCCCTCCCAACGGAGAAATAAACATGTCATTCGGTGTCCATCATTTGGCGTTCGGTTTAATGTCGCTCTGAATGCAGCGAGCGCGAGCGCGGTCGCGCGCGCGAGAAGGTGACGGGCCACGCGCCCGCCCGCGTCACCCGCGCGCGGCGCGCGCGCTGCATGGCGCGCGCGCGA